AGTATCACAACCTGAGTCAATGCCGATTAGCGAAAGAGTATCAATCTTTCGTCTATGTCGAAATATTGCGTGATCCGCGGCGTCTACTGTATAGTGTTTTGCTGTACCACATTCACTTCACATCGTTGTCTAACTATAGTATTTATTATTATTACTATCTTTGTTACTGTTTCCCGCAACAGACGACCGTGAGACTCACCTTTCTCCCGACAAAATCACCTTCCTACCCGATGAACGTATTCAGTGTGATAGGACAAAGTACGAGGACAACTACACGCCGCTCTACATTGTTAAAGTCACGGTGGGCGCCGAGTTCCACATTTATGAGTCAACTCTCGACATAACCGAGGTTCTCAGTCGGTTTCCGGCTGTTTGGTACAACGTGACAGACATAATGCCCCACGATGACTTCCGACCAGATCTGCAAGTACTGATCGCCTTCTGTGACGTTGCTGGCAAATTCACTCAACCCATTTACATCAACCAAGGGCGTAAGTTGTTCCATACGAGCACAATTTGTGATCTGCGTGTGTGTAAGTCCCTTTTCAGGTGTCCGTGCAGCTAGACGTTCGCTAGGCGGTGAGGGAGAGAGTGAGGTCGACCCTCAGCGCACTTCTCTCCTCATTATAATAATAAATATGAATGCGCTTGAATCTATAATGGTGCGCTAAAAGCCGTGGCTTGGAAAGTTTGCCAACTGACGGGATAACTCGGGCCTCCTATGTTGCTGCTTCTCTAGTACGCGTGTGTATGTGGGGAGATGGAGAACTGAGATTCAGGCTACAATGGCTCCTTCTTAATGTGGCCTTTATGGCACCAGCCACCTACACCCTCCCTCATTCTCGTTCTTATTGTCTTTGGCTTTACACCGGACGGAAACGGAGGTGGGAGCGGCGAGCGAGTGGGCAGGTTCCCCGCGAGCCTGCTTTAACGCTTGTTTTCATTTTCGGTAGTTCGCTGCGTTGCATCAGCTGGCTGTAGCCTTAGTGCAACTTGTCCAGCTTGCCTCAGTGTCTGCTTTGGATTGCGTCAGCGTTTACTACGGATTGCTGAAGCACGCGACTGCCCATCTTCCAAATCGATTGGGGAACTAAAAAAGTGTGTGCATGTGTGTCTATGGTTCCGCCACGTTTGTAGAACGTCCTATGGCCTCGAAATCTCTAAAACTTCGGGGATTTTTTACCATTCCTTCTGCGTCACTGGTCTAAATAGCGGGCTGCAGACTGAGTGACATATTCCGAAATGGAAAGGTTTCAGAGAAGACGTACTTTTATTGTACAGAAGATTTGATTTGGCAGACGAAACGGAGTACCATTACAGTGAATATATATGCCAGTCCACGCAAATGCTGCTGATGACAATGATGATACCAGTTTTGAGGAGCAAGTCTACGTCTAGCCTAGATTCCCACGAGTGATATGAACGTAGTACAGGAACAAAATGAAGTGAAGAATCGTGATGAAAGTTCACCTGACCGCAACAGCACTCATCCGTCCCGCGCTGCCCTGAGTCTTGCCAAACAGCCGTAACAATTGGCAGTAGAGGCAGATAGTATTGCTTCTGACTCTGATCAAATAAGGTGGCGAGTTGGAGTGGGGCAAGAGTTGGGTCTGCATCTGACTGGCTGACGACGTCTTCGTCGTCGACTAATAAGCCAGAAATGATCATTTCATTTTCCCTTGTCCTTGTTGGCAATACTATCGGCCTGTAAAAAGAAGTTGGTTTGCGCTGGATAGCTCATCAAGAGGGTTGCTATTGCTGCGACAACTTAATAAGGAAAACTGCTGTGGTCTTCAGACCCGGGAAGAGAAAAATTGAGACGCCAAATGGGGAGGAAATTTTCGAAAGATTGATAATCACTCGTAAACGGCATTAAGTAGGGTTGAAATATTTATTATCGTGCGGCCTAATCTCGGGTTGTTTCAGCCACGACTGAATGCCGACTTTTAACGAGCTACTTTCCAACCGCTTGCAAGGAAGTACATTATGTACGAAATGACTACTTAAGTAGTATGCATTTGCAAAAATTCTCAGTAAAAACTTCAGAAGATGAATTGGCGAAGATACACTTGTTTTCGATAAGTTCTCCCCAGGCCTTTACATGTATATGGTAATTAAGTAAATACAATATGCAGGTTGGTAGAAAAAAATAGCACGGCTTTCAGGGGAGGGGAAAGGTGGGGATCGGGGTCAAAATCTGGTCAGCGTTAGGGGGGACTGGTAGTCGGCCGAGGAGATGAGCTGCTGGTCGACATCAGGCGGCGCCGACAGGTCCTGTGCGCCCAAAAGTACTTCGTCTTGGCACCGCAGTTACCATGGCCAAAAGCCGCTAATCCAATAGTATGTATTTAATTTATTGATTCTAACTGCCCTTATAAATTCAGATATATTTTGCAAGAAAAAATTTAAACAAAATTATTCTTTTTTGTATTCGTATTTTTTTAGCACACTCCGCCTTTTTCAAATTTAACACTTAAAGATGGGGTATATTTTGGATTAAAATTATCCATACTTATGAGTTTATTTATGCCTGTGAAGTGTTCAATCATAAAACATCGTGCCCGCCAATTTTTAATGGTGCCCATTATGTATACAGCATTAGCCACATCAATTGCAAAATTTTATGAAAAATATGTGACCTCGTCCTCACTCCTTAGGCACTAAAGTATTTTTTCATAGATAGAATGAACACAGCATTCAGTTTGGAAACCTTGAATTCAATTGTAATGGTTGATAGGTTTCAAAACTATTTAGTAATTTAAAAACTTTTAGGAAATCGAAATTTGCCCTTTTTTAAGCGTAGTTTGCTACCAAACGAGTACATGAAGAAATATTTTTGTGAATTTTGTCTATGACATACATCTGAATTTGTAAGGGTGGTAAAAATCATTGAATTGGATGCATACTACCTAATAGCCATTTTTTACAGAAGATGCTCTTTTACGTTTTAGACAAAAAGCTCCTTAAAAACGCCGGCAGTCTTAAGTGACGGCAATGACTTGAGATTAGGCTGCGCCATAAAAAGCAGTACAACCCTATTTAATGCCGTTTTACGAGCGATTATCAATGCTGGAATATTTCAGAATTTCGCATGAAATACCGGCCGTACGGTATTACTATGAATGATTTAGATGAGACTGGCGCTAGCTCATTAACTGCTAATTTTGCCAGCAGTTTGACACACAGACCGGGTGCAGTCTACGCACTATATAAGTGTTTTATTCAGAAGCCTCTTTACACTGTGGTCAGACTATGGGATGGGTACAGAAAAAAATAACTAAATTAACATTGTCTAACAAAGCATTCTATAATTAGCTGTCATCAGCGTCAATAGGTGTTACAGACATTTTGTTATCCCGCTGTGGTTGGCTGTGCGCGTTTAACTTTGCCTGTGAAAAATTTGTATGGGGAATCCAAACCAATATGCCTATTGATTCATGCCTCCTCTGAGTGTATTGCTTCCAGGAATTCATGGCCTTGACTGCATGGCCAACTGCTAACGATCCGTGTGTTCTCTCATACGAAGGTATGACCAGCTTCCAGTGTGTGCATGGCCATCCGAGATAAATGGTCTCGTCCTCTAACCACTAACTGGTGTTCATGTATGTGGGTTGAGACAAATTTCCAAGTTTGGATATAATAATCTGCATCACAAGTGGCATACCGGATCTTCTAGACGACACATCTTTTATTAAGGTAGCCAAACTTGTCCTTAGGGTGATCAGTCTGTGAGCGCAAGGTGGTTTCGGGCTGGTGTGCTACTTCAATCTAATGTTTCCTTAGTTTTCTTTTGACAAAATCAGACACATTTTTCGCGTATGGGCAGGTTTGTCAGGTCATGTTTTTCAATGCCTAGATGGCCGTACAAGTTGAATTATCTTTTGAAGCTGGTTTACCAGCTCGTCGTCAGCCTATGGGATATGTACAAGAAAACAAATTAACCTTTTCTTACAAATTATTCTACAATTGGCTGAAAGCCACGCCAATAGGCGTCACATACAC